GACGTGTGCTCTTCCGATCTAAACCATACGGTTAATTGGTTTGAAATTTTAATATGATATTGATAGTTTCGTTTTAAAGAATATTCTATATAATTTTTAAACAGATTGAAGTATTTTGATTTTGCTATCGAACCTCCTTAAATTAATTAATTAAATTAACGCTAACTTGGGTATGATCCAAGTATGCCGTGGAAACAATCGCCGATTATCTTCGAATTCATCCAGAACTCCTGCAGACATGAAGCGTTTCGAAATAGCGCGTCAAAGTGCGCCGAAAATGTGGAGTCGAACAGACCGCCACAAACGTATTTATTAGATACCCGGAACCACGATACAGAGCGGGAATGGAGCGGAGCAGAGAGATACTTGTTCATACGGACGTTAGCTCCGGAGTCTCACGTCAAACATGAGATCGAGGAAAACCGGAGCATTAACCGATTGTAGCGACATGCTTATGTTGATCTTATGCGTCGCGAGGGGTCTCAGCCCAAACACTAATACGCGTGCAACTTAACATATATTAATTATACATCCGTTATCAGCATTTAAAAGAAATCTTCTGACGCTATAAAAATTGTGCTAAATACTTATTTTGTCAAAAACAAAGCAATGCAATTAATATTATTCTAGTCTAGCAATTAATATTATACTATTCCGATATTATTCTAGGTAGTCAAATCTGTGGACAGTTTTTGAGCCGAGTCTGCTATAAATGTTGTTAACAGAAAGACACACACAAATTAGACATAAAATGTGTGTAATATTTAACGATGCTGACAAACTGCCGCTAAAAATCGAATAGAATCTGCTAATATTTTATGCCAACAGATTGATGGCAGAAATTGAACAGAATTTACTGATATAACTTGATAGTAAATTGACGGCAGAAACTGAGTAGAATTTAGGTTTCTATTCTGGAAACCATGCGATATATTATATCGTATAATTTCGAGTGATATTGCATACTACAATGCATACTGCAGACAAATATTTATAATTATAATTTTGCTGTAATGGAAAATAGAAACACAATTTTATTTTAGATATGGTATAAGTTCAAAAAGAAAAATTAGTCCAAATCAAAACGACAAAATAGTTTGATGGAATAACTAGACAAAGTACAATATTAAAATAGTGCATTAACAATAAATTTGATAATTGAATTTTATGATCTCACAATCAGATAGACAATTATTAACATATACTGTCTGCATAGTAACGAAATCTGAACATTGAAAATGGTTGCATAAATATTTAAAGTTGATCCTCATATGAATGTTATCATCATCTGAAAGAGATCTTCTGATGCTGTAAAAATTATGCTATTTTATGTTATTTTATCAAAAACAAAACAGTGTAATTAATCCGATATTATTAAAGCAATAGGTAAGTAAACATTTATTGTCTAAAATTATAAATGGATATTAAAATAATGTATTTTCAGCAAATATTTTTTAAGTATTATATTATATAACTCAGATAGCACAGAGAGTTCAAAAAGAACTTGTCAGTCACATGTCATCAATTCTAAGTTAATTTTCAGATGCAGAAAAAATTCTTTTCCTACTAATTTTAAAAAAGAATTCTTTTTGCACCTGAAAATTAACTCAGAATTGACATACAATTGAATATACAATTGAATGAATTCTTTTTGCTATGTGCTTCTCTGTGCTTTGTGAGAACACTAGTTTCCTTAATGCAAGAACACAATCATATCTCGCACTAAGTGCACGTATAAATAATGCACAAATGATATACCCGAGTTTAATATATAGATTTTGATTATATATGTATAGTAGAAAGCCCGACACACGTGAAACGGACACCAACGAACATTACCTATAGCAGCAGTCTGGCAAGTATTTAGTGACAACGCAGATTCTACTCGATTTCTGCTACCAATCTGCTAACATAGGCATGTCAACAGACTTTGTCATATTTCTGACAGCAGTTTGCCGATATCATTAGATATTACCAACTGTGTGAAATTAATTGCCTTTTTATCGTTAAAAATTAGTAGCATGTTCTACTCAAAATCTGTCTTTATAGGTTAACATATAATACATAACTTTACTTCTTTATTATCTCGCCTCTAGTCATTTGACATTATCCTTAATTCAACTCCTTTTGTCTTCTCATCCTCCATAAAGATACTAAGCGTACACTTTGATCCTTTCTTTGGTCCTTTGAGCATCATGTAACTAACAAATGTAGGGCTGCATATGCACGTCTTCGTTTGTTACATCCCTTGCGTGATGTTCTCTCCCTCTTACAAACACTTCTAGTCTTCCAGCTCCTTATTCTTTCTCTCTCTGATTATGCTGATACTGTCTACATATCCAACATAAGTCAACATGTGCATCGCTGGATATAACACATGCTCCAAATGCTTGTCTCCGCTTTGCATATGGCGCTAAGAAATTTGGCCATATACCGATAATAACTACATCAGCTCTCGTAGGCTGGTAGAGTAGAAACTGAATAGAAAAGTCCTTTACCATTTTGCAAAATTCGCAATTATTAACAAGATATTAATTTTTGAAAATTGGCGAATAAATGCGTATCCGTCCGGCCCACCGTTGAATGTAAGCGCACGGCAAGATACGACCTCCCCACCACTAGTCGTTGTTATGTACGCAGAGATAAACAATTATGGTAGAATGATCAGCGATAGGGTGGTCGTAACTAACTGCGCGCTTACATTCAGCGGTGGGCCGGACAGATACGCGTCTATTCGCCAATCATCAAAAATTAAGATCTTGTTAATGATTGCGAATTTTGCAAAATGGTACAGGACTTTCTGTTCAGTTTAATCTGCTCTAGCAGCCAACGAGAGCTGGTGCGGTTATTATTCTGTATACAGGGCGTCCTATTTTCAAGAATCCATTAAGATTTCTCGAAAACTATGATAGATACGGAAAAATATTTCAAACAAAAATTGTATGACTTCAAGGAAGACATAAAATAGTACCATTGTTGACCTTAGGTGGCATTGTCAAGGTCATGAAAAGGTCATTTCAAATTTTTTAAATGGAATCTCTTATTTTTTTATTGCATATTCTTATTGCATAGCTTATCTCGAGAGCTTTCTAAAACACTATAATAAAATATTTTTCCATTGAGCACTTTTTGAGTTATAAGGCTTGAATGTTACAGTACCGCCAGCATTAGCATTATCCAAAGTGTTCAATGGCTAAAACCTTTTGAATGTTATTCAGGATCATAAGCTTGATAACATGTATGTATCAAGATCATAATCACTGGAGATTGTTGCTCTTATTTTTGAAAGTTATTTTTATTCTTTGATAAGCGAAGCTTTAGCTTTCTCACATCCTCGCCGTAAACCCTCGCTAGCGCTAAATAACACCAATGTTCAAATGAGCATAACTCTACGAAAAATCAACAAGACTTCAACGCGTCTCGAAAAACCCTTTTAACCGAGTCCTCACTCGATCTTGTGCCATTTGAGATTTTCAAACTCCCTCTCCCCCCATCCTCCCTGGAGGGTAGAAGTGGATGTTTTTAAGGTTAAATGATGTGCCATCGTAACCCTATAAAGAGTGACTCTAAAAACAGGCCCCAAAAAATGGCCTGTATTCTTGTTCTCGATTCCGGACTTTATTTTGGTGATAAATGATAGTAAACCATGAGACACTAATCCTCTGAAATTTTTAAATTGAGCTTACTCTTTGTTGTCAAGTTATGAAGCCTCAAAGTTATTATTTTATACCGTGTTTCTTAAAACGGATCTTTGCATGCGAATAGCTTTTAAGTAAAGCATTTTGGAGAAAAATGTTTCAGATAAAAGTTGTAAGATGTGAAAGGATACACAAAATGATGACCTTCACTGTGATCTTGAGGTCATTTGGAGGCCAACTTTTGATTTTAAAATAAGAACTTTTATATAAAGTAATATTTGGGAGTGAAATGATTATTAGAGAGTACTTTTTTGGACCGGTGTTGAATAACAGAGGTGGTTTTGGAGTCAAAGTTGGTTTCATTATTTTTCTTGCTGTTTATTTCTACAATAAGAAAGAGTTTTCACTGGAAATGCTGAAGTTGATCTTGAAATAAGCTTTAGAAATGTCTTCAAGATCTAAAGGCCTTCTTCTATTTACCCTTACATGGCCTTGTTTACCTTACAAATCCTACAATTTTTATTTGAAATATTTTTATCTGAAATGCTTTTCCTAAAAGTTATTTGTAAGCAAATAGAAGAGTGGAAACTCTTTCTTATTGTAGAAATAAACGACAAGAAAAGTAATGAAACCCCAAAGCCACCTCTATTATTCAATCCCCCGATCCAAAAAAGTACTTTCTATAATCATAATAATAAGAATAGGTTATATGATTGTAACCCTGAGGGGATCAATAAAGAATTATATATATATAATTATAATAATCATTTTACTCCCAAGCGTTACTTTATATAAAAGTTCTTATTTAAAAATCAAAAGTTGACCTCCAAATGACTTTCAAGAGTGTCTTCAAGATCACAGTGAAAATCATCATTTTGTGTACCCTTTCACATCTTACAACTTTTGTCTAAAACATTTTTCTTCGAAATGCTTTGCTTAAAAACTATTCGCATGCAAAGATCCGTTTTGAGAAACAAGGTATAAAATGATAACTTTAAGGCTTTATAACTTGGCAACAAAGAGTAGGCTCAATTTGAAAGTTTCAGAGGATTAGTGTCTTATGATTTACTATCATTTATCACCAAAATAAAGTCCAGAATCGAGGGCGAGATTACAGGCCATTTTTGGGGTCACTCTTTCAATCCAATATCTCAAACCATTCAAAAATTATTCAAGTGGCTTCAAACTTTTGGCGGTTTTTGTATACAAAAGAAATATAGTATTTTATTGTAGTTATTGATACATCTATATGATATGTTTCAGGTTACCAAAGAAGGTGAATTGCTACCTTTTTTCCAGACGGAACTAAAAGTGGGTGGTGATGGAGAGGAGGATATGATTTTTTTTATCTGGCCTACTACAATTGTTCATAAGATTGACCGGTACTCACCATTGTACAAGATATCAGCTAATAACATGTTGCGAGAGCAATTCGAAATTGTCGTGATATTGGAAGGTAAAAATGTTAATATATCATGTTTACAGATTGAAATAGAATTTGAAATATTTAGCTCTTTTAGTGCTTAATCCTTTGTCAACAATTGGGTTTTTTTTGACACAAGCAAAATTTCATTTTTAAAGGAAGATGTTAAAAAAATCCGATTTTTAGCCCCCCTATGGAACTTTAGTTATCCACAAAAGTTATTGTTTGGGACCCACATGAAATAGTAAAAATAGTTTTATATCCCAGAAATGCAGGGAAAGTTGATTTTTTAAATGTTATATCATGTCTTTCCTTTGTAAGTCGAATTTTCATATATCACGCTAGAACTTATCATTAATCGGATTTATTGCAAAAGTCATGATAATTGATACTTAAAGGTTTTAAGGCTCACTGATCACGAATCTGTTATTAAAAATGGTAAATTATGGAAACAGGTAATCCAAAATGCACGCTTGACATGCAGTTTTGTAGGTAGGGTTACAACAATCGAATTTTTTTATAATATTAATTAAAATGAATCTAAGCGTGCTGTTTAAAACACATTGATTATGAATCCATTAATTAAATGGAAAAATCAATGGTGACGGAATCAAAATGGCGATTCAAAGTGTTTGTACCCGATTAAAGTCACATTTAATATATTTTATAGAACAAAATGAATGTGCTCTTTCGAGGTCTTCTATTGCACACTGTTAAAGTAGGATTTTAAAAAATTAACTATCTAACTAATCATTTAATAATCAGTGTGGCACTTAAAGAGCATGTCGGAATTTAATATATATATAATACTGTAAATGTCAGCGCCTCTAGCGGTACTTATGTTTTTCATAGATATCCTAAGTTACCCATCTTATATTTTCTGTTTCTACGTTACGCGTTGCGTGTGCGCCTGAATTATTATTCTTCTTCCGTTGTATTGTGACTAACGTTCTTTTCTCTTCGTTTTATATATTCGCAATAAAAACGTATTGTAACAATTTAAGTTGAGTATCATCACCATCATCGCGATCCTCCCACAGGTTATGGGCCCAGGACGCGTAGTCAATAAATGTGGTGTTTGAATAACATATTATAATTGTTTGGCCGAAAGGTTAGTTACGAATTTTTTTGTGAATTATCGAAAAGTTGATTGCTCTAGCCGGCATCATGGCAGAATCCACGTCCAACTTTTCCATTACTTTCCAAAAACTAAAAGGACGTGATAACTATATAAATTGGAAATTTCAAATGAAGAATTATCTGCGGCATGACAACTTATGGTGCACTATTGCTGGTTATCCTGAAGGCGACGGAACATCAGCAGGTGA